TCTATATAAAGCAGGCTAGAGTTCTTAGATGTGCAGGACACCAAACTCTCCTTCCAAGTTTTCTTTTCCACACCAAAGTAATAACAATTGTTGGAAAATATTAGCCACTCATTTGGACAACGGCCACAATGATATGCTGAGGAAAGACTGTGGATTTCTATCAAGAAACATTGTCAATTTTTAAAATTGAAAATAAATTTACATGTTTGAACTTACATAAACATGTATATGTACATAATGTATCTCCACACCCCACAGGCTGGTGCATATCAAACAAAACATGGACTTACACACAAAAGCAGCAAAAAAGGTCAGCCACTCCACTTGTAATTAATGTGCTCAAGTAAACTTTTTAAAAAAGCTTCACTCTACCAGTATCTTGAAATAAGTGAATGAAATCTCTTTTCTATAATGGTAAATTTATCTCTCATCGTGTTATACAAGAAGAAAATCTGAGGCAATTGTCAAAAAGATTGTACAGTAATTTTAAATATGTATTTCTATTTATTGAACAAAATTAAATGTCTCCTATAGTCTTTATTTATGAACATTTAATGACCATTTTCTAGCTTGTTTTCCCATAAGAAATCGATTACAATTTTTTATGGTCTGACTTAGAAACAAAATGCAATCTATGAAAATATAAGAATTTTGAAATTTATTATGTACCTTTTGGAGTTCTTACCAAGGAAGATTATTTCAGTTCTTAGTTTGAAATTTATATAATGTTTACAATTAGAATAATGTAGAATAAAATAATTTTACCAAGAAAATTAATAAAACAATGAAATTATTGGGAAAATAATTTAAATAAAAATCTAATGGTCAAACATCACAATCTTTTAACTATTAACTATTAATTTGTATTTCTCAATAAGGTTTTTCACATTCCTAACGTGTTTGAATTATGAAATCACAATGTATAACTATAATTAAAAACAAGTAATCATTACCATCCTTTACTATTTATACTTTTATCCACAGTCCAAATAGAAATACTAAAATGAGAGCTGTGTCCCTTGGTATTGTGAAACGTCAGAGGCACTCTCAATCAGTAGAGTGGAACATTCTTATACAATCTTTCCAAACTACACTTACAGAAAGTTACAGCTGTCACTATCACTGTGACTGTTAAGATAAGGCATGTGGTTCCCAGGAATCCAGCAAGAAGTTTCTCAGGAGGTGATGTGAAATCTACAGAAAGAAATCACAGCAATGAGAAAAGAGAATGGAGGAAGCCATTCAGAAGGGAAGCAGGGAGGGGAAGGGGATTTACAAATATGCAAGATGTGCCATATGTATGTAGCAAATACCCACAATGAAGGTAAACACTAGAGGAACTACAATTAATCATAATCATGATAATGATAACAGTGCAGTGAGGAAAGGGAATCTAGACACAAAGGGAGGAGGGTGAATGGAAAGGGAAAGAGGAATAAAAAACAATCAAGATATGTTATGTCCATGGACACACTCCCTAAGACAAAGGCAAACTTCACATACTGAAAACATGGACTAACAAAATAAAATTTAAGAAAAAGATGGACAAGGGGCTGGGGATTTAGCTCGGTGGCACAGCGCCTGCCTGGCAAGTGCAAGGTCATGAGTTCAATTCCCGGTACCGGAAGAAAGAGAAAAAAAGATGGACAGGGGAGAAGTTTTTACAAAAAGAATTAAGATGTGTCATGTCCACGTGCTAACTGCCCACAAGGGTTGTAACCATTATGTATTGAAAATATGTACTAATAAAAATTAAAAACTGAAAAAAGGTTTATGCACAAGGGAAACTACAAGTACAGGGAAACACATAGAAAACTGAACACCAAACCCATACCCACAACTACAATCTGTCTCTGGAATATACCACTGCATTTTCAGTGTACACAGTGCTCCATAAGTTCTTGGTCAAAGACTTAAAATTTCAACGAATAGAATAGCATAACTCAAGTGGGGTTTTTTGTTTGTTTTCTTTTTTTGTTTTTTTTTCTGGTACCGGGAATAGAACTCACGACCTTGTGCTTGCCAGGCAGGCTCTGTGCCACTGAGCTAAATCCTCAGCCCCAGCATAACTCAAGTTAAAGTACGTCTCGCCACAAGTTAAAAATATATGAGCCTACTCCCTACGTTTTACCCACACCTCTGTAACCCAACTGCTCATTTTAGAACAGTTACAGTGAGGTTGGAAGAAAAGTGATACCTTTGCAGTTGTGGTCCTTGTCATTCCCTCGATGCTCCTGAGAAGCGTTCTGAAGGATTAATTCTGCATAAGTTATTTCCTGCTGATTTACTGGAATGGATCTTTTGGAAGCCTTAGGTTTCCTTTGCTGTTTCTTTGGATCCTTGGCCAGATTAAGTTCTGAGTACACGACTTGCTGGTTACTCATCTCAGCAGCTGAGTGATGTCAGAGACTGAGTTCTGATAACTGAGCTTAAAATGTAAACAGATGGTGTCAAAAGAGGGTGGATAGGATGTCAGTACTGGTGCTTATTTTGAAGTTGAAAAGTCTAAATATTTCCCTAGCTTTGAACACATGTCATATGGTGAAATAAGTAATTTTTAGTGGATATTCTGCTTTTGACAAAATACTATTGGTTAGGCAATAAAAAAATCAATAAATTATAAATAAAGATGTTCATGAATAAGGATATTTATAAGTTAAAGCCAGTTTCCACAGAAATGTTCTAACATCAAGAATATTTTAATATATACGTAAAAATTGTCCTCAAGTTTTATGACAAATTGAAATGTAAGGACAGTTAAAAACTGAATACTGTAAACAGAAAGTAGGTATATATTAATTTTTTGTACATTACTTTCATCTACTAGAGTGCATCTATTTATTAAAATGGATTAGATATTATGAAATGGTCTTTTATTTTGAATAATTCTGGAGCTCTGAGAAGTTACCAAAACCGCTTAAGATAGGGTATATATTAGAGACGTTCTGTGACAAGAGATCTAGAGACAATTCTGGCTTCGAAATTTAGGACATATGACCTTTAAAATTTTATTTACCATCAGATAACCTAGTTTACACTTCTAAATGCAAATATAAATATATGAAACAGAATACAGGTAATGACAACACTCAAATTGGCACTTCAAGTTCTCAAAGAGTTTTAACTTATTAAATTATTTTAGTGATAGTTGCTATGTTATTTTTATTCATATCAATTAGACCATGTAAAATAAATCATTAGATAATCTTATATCAGTATGATATTACCTATTTTTGAAATATTTTGATCAAGTTTTAGAAGTCTATTGGTTGTTCATAATTAAGTTTAGCATTTTATGCGATCTAGCTTATTTTGGTTTTTATTTAAGCACTATTTTGTTTAATCTAAGCAAATGAAATATTGTATCTATCATTGTGCAAAATTTTTAAGAATTTCTAGTTGCTGGACTAAATATAAGTCAATCTATTACCAACAAAATACTGATTACAATATCTAAAGTTAATTATTCATCTCTGTGATGTTTATGATCTCATTTTAATTTATATTGGATAACACATTGAAATATGCAAGGATGTATTTCATTAATTCCTCATAGGCAATAATCAGAATACTCTAAGAAATCTTCCAATGTATTTATTTTAGTACTTTTCCCTGAATTTTTAAAAGAAACGTACCTACATTCTAATTTGATTTTATTTTATGTGAATTGCCCTTCAATTGCATCACACCTAGCAACTGTTATCTTTCACAGCGTTAGATTAGTAGGGAGACAAGAGAATTATGACACATATCTCCTGTTGCAAGAAGTCATGCACCTTCCAGTGAGAAGCCCTGGCTACATATGTGAGAAGGCCTGCAGCAGATGCAACTTAATGATATAAATTCAGGAAAATAACAAGCAATATCTGCTTCAAAGACTGTCCTCAGAGTGAGTCACAAATGGAAAAAGTAGATTTCACATCAGTGTGTCACTTAGGTTGCACAGGAAATTCTCACACTTTGGCTTCTTTGAAATCACACCTCCAGAATATAGGACACCTTAGGCTCCTATTAAAAGGACAATGTGAACTTCTAAACGTGCCATTTAATATGTCCTTATCCAAGTGTCTCTGAAAAAGTGCTAGCATGTTCTACAACCTGGTCACCTATCTGGAACACCAAGACATTTAACGCATTTACATATCAATCACAAACATTACCTTATCGAGAGACTCTTGTATTTTAAGTTTTACTTTTCAATATTTGATTAAATTGCTAAATCTCAGCTTCCTTTTCAAAATTATATGTATTTATTTTGGTGTTGAGATTTGAACCTCAGGTTTCAAGCATGATAAGTGTGTGTAACATTGTGCATTTCTTTTCCTCAAATCCTTATTACATCACTTATATTATAATGGAAAAATTATAGAACTTTTAGTATCATTACCAATAGATGATAATATTTGTGACTAATTGCTGTTTACCATTACAACATTTTCAACCTCTTATTAATGGTACAAAAACCACTCTCAAAAACTCATGTTCTCCATTTATCTGCATGAGTTCTTAAAATTTCTCCATTTCCACTAGATCTAAGGCACAACTTTGGAGCCCTTAGGTAAAATACCTGGGCCTTATCATAACTGAAGGAATCTGAAGGCTGGGGGAAGAGAGAATTAAACCAGTAGTTTCTTCCCACAGCCCAAGACCCTAAAACTGCTAAGGGGATTCCTAGGAAATACAGGCTTTTGTTACCTTTGTATAGCAGGATATGGTGAGATTGCATGACCCCTCTATCAACTCATAAAGGAAGCTCAAAAAGCAGATACCCATATTTTAACCTGGGAAACTTCTCTTAAGCCAGAGAAGACTTGTTAGACACACCCCTTACACAAACCAAACTAGATTCCAGAAGCTTAAACAAGTGCTTCTAAATGCCCCAGCACTGAGCATATGGATAAGATACCATTTCAATCTGTATGTTGATTAAAAGTGAGGAACGGCTTTGGGAGTGCTTATACTGCATTGAGCACCTGCTCAACAGTCTGAAGTGTATCTGAGTCATGAATTAGCCACTGTAGCAAAGGCATGACCTCCATGCCTTAGAGCTGTGACTGCTGTAGCCCTCCTGGTACCAGAGACATCCAAGTTGACTTTGGAAAGAGATTTACTATATGGACACCTCACAGTGTGGCTGGACTTCTTTCTTCCAAAGGAAGCCTATGGCTATCAGACAACCAACTTCTTAAATACCATGCTCTACTTCTAGAAGGATCAGCCATTCAAATAAAGACGTGTTCCTCCTTAAACCCTAACACTTTTCTATGAGAAAAGGAAGTAATTGAGGCTGAAAGACATGACCACAAACAAGTAATTTTCCATATGTACACAGCCAGAGAAGACTTGTTAAACACACCTTTTACTGACTTTGATCTGATTTTCTTCTGTGATGCCAGTTCCTTCATGAAAAATGGGACAGGAAAGGCAGGGTTTGCAGCAGTGATGCTGCATCAGATGCCTGAAAATTCCTCACCTGCCCCTGGGAATAGTTCCCAGCTAGCAAAACTCATAGCTCTTACCAGCACTTTATAACTCAGTGAAGGATAGAAAGTCAGTATTTATACTGATTTAAACTGTGCTTTCCTAGTGTTACATGCCCACACAGCTGCACAGAAAGAAAGAAATGACCTGACAGCCAATGGCTCACCCATAAATTACCATAAGGAGATAGATGAACTTTTATTGTATGTCTACATGCCCTCCAAAGAGGTGATAATTCACTGGAAAGGGCAGCAAAAAGGAATTGACAAAGTATCTCACAGTAGTCACTGGCTTATGCAGCTGCAAGAAAAGTGCTTAACCCCCCCAGGCCCCTCTCATCTGACATGGGTTCCTTGATCATACTGACCCAAATATTCTCAGTTAGAAATCAAATGGGTTCTTTCCCCTGGGTATCAGTTCCTTCCATCAGGATAGTTACAATCAGATGATGGTAAATTGGTCCTTCCTGGTGTCAGGCGATGGAAAATTATTAAGTCTACATCAAACCTTTCACTTGGGGAGTAACCAGGCCCACAAAATGGCTTCATATTTATTCACAGGAAAGGGACTTTCTCAGACAATAGAACACATTGTTAAGACATGTAAGCTCTACCAAAATAGCAATCCTCTTAATCAGACCATAGCCCTTCCAGGTATACAGAGACATGGTAAATACCCTGGAGAACGTTGGCAGCTCTGTTTTACTCATATGCTAAATAGTGAGGGGCTTCAATACCAATTGGTCTGGATAGACACTTTTACAAACTGAGTTGAGGCCTTTCCTTCTAGAATAGAAAAAAAACTCAAGAAGTGGTAAACATTTTGGTCTCTGATGCCATCCCCAGGCTTGGACTTCCTAAGAGCTTACAGAACAATAATGGGCCTTCTTTTAAAGCAAATCACATGGGTGTCTGTCAGGCACTGGTCATTCTCTATCACCTTCCTTGTGCATGGAGGCCATAGTCATCAAGAAAGGTGGAAAAAAAGTGAATGAAACCCTAAAGAGACATCTTCACAAAATGGCTCAGGAAACCCAGCTACAGTGGCCTCACTTACTACTATTAGCTCTTACCAAAGTAAGAAATACACCTCAAATCCTAGACTGTGGTCTATTTGAAGTGCTTTATGGATGTCCTTTTCTCACTAATGGTTTTCTCTTCAATAGAGGAACAGATGCCTTCAATAGAACTACTGTTGAATTCCTACCATCTTGTTTTGTGAAATTCTGTATCATTTCTAATGTTTTTTTTCCCATCTCTTTAAAATAAAAAAAAATTTAAAAACTTTACTCACTGAATTCCAAAAGACTCTTCACCAACTAACAAAAGCTCAGCCTAAAAAGAGAATTCCGTATTCCACCCTGGAGTCTTAGTAATGGTAAAGTCTCTTTCCTCACCCACTTGGATGGCCAGAACCCCCTGATTCCTCTCTGCCCAAAGAGCCCTTGTGCATTAAAGGTACACCAGCTACATGACCTGCTTCCCCTTTGGATCAATATTAACTGAACAGCTGAACTTGTACTCTTATTGGCTGATCACAGTTTTTCCCTTTCCTTTTTACCAAAATAAATGGCCTCCTTTCATATGATCCCTGGCCAGCAAACAAACCTGAGCATATGATCCTAATCTGAGGTACAGCCCTACATAGCTGTTAACACTGAGCTCCTACGTTTTAAAACACAAAAATAAAAACAAAACACCCACATTTGATACAGAGACCTCTATTCATATACCTTGGACATTGCAATGTTAATGCACAGGTGGTATTTGCTTAGCTTGTTTAATGAACATCAATGTGAATTGTGGTGGGGAAGATAATTACCCGCAAGCAGAAGGCAGCAAATTTTCTTCATTTCCAATGTAGTTTAAAAAGTTAAAAGCCGTACTGAAATCCTCTCACTGCAATAAAAAACTTTAAG